TACTTTTTTGATGTAACAGAGAAACAATGATTTCCACAGGGCTGGTGTTAATATCATTTGATGCAGAAATGCTGGAACTGAGTCAGACTTAAGAGCAGCACAGTGACAGCCAGAGTGACTTGATAAATGACAGCTTTCTCTGATTATCTGTTCTCAGAGGAACTCTCTCTGAAACAAAGGTGTTCCTTCTAACTTCCTCCCATCGTGGGTGTGGAGGAAATAAACTGTGTAACTTTATATACTTTATACTACAGCTTCCCCCTCCATCTCTCTCTCCACTTGCTTTGCTCCATCCTTCCACATTGCTAAATTATTTCAGCCCAAACCTCTCTTGCATGGCTGCCAGAGGCAGCTGCTCACTCAATTGAAGGAGAAATTTTGAGATTAAAATAATTCCTGTGTTCCTGTGGCAGTGACTAGGAAGTGATGTGGTGCTGCCTTTTCTGACCTTCCCATGATGGATTCATTAGTCTTCCTGGAGGTGCTAGAAGAGAGGCAGCATACTTGTCCTTTTTGGCTGTCCCCAGACAGTGTTTCTGAGCACAGCGCAGTCATATCTTGGATAGAAGATATGACTGGAATTTCAACAGCTTATTGCTGTTTCAGATTATTTAGTCTAAAAAAAAGACAGAGGTTACCTCAGCTCATATTTAAATTGTGTATGAAAAGCATCTGGAAGAACATATATGCTCTTCCTTAACCAATTGAGATGTGACCTTCAGCCATGGGAGGAACCACAATGTGCTTTGTGTTGTGCAGAGGTCCTCTGGCAGATGTGCAAGGCTGTCAAGGATTTAATTTAGAAGTGAAAGTGTAAGGCTCTGCAAGGAAGGATGAGCTCTTCAGAGCTCCCTGCATGGAGAAGCATCATTGAATATTTGCAACATCTACACTGCTATTGAAAGGAAGATAAGAATCAGGAATAAGTAGGAGGTGATGTGAAGGTTTACAGGTCCAGGGTTTGAGTTTTCCCCATTATACCCATTTGTCCAACAATATGGGTATCACTTGTGAGAGCCAGTCCACACCCAGAGGCCAACAGAGTGATTAGGGAAGAAACACATGGGGAGGTCCAGAAAGCAGAGCTAACAAACTGAGTGAAGAGGGTGACTGGAAACAGCCTCATAATGGCACAGGCTTGATTCACTCTGCCTTTCCTTCTGGATGTGTTTGATGAACAAATCTAACAAACAGAGATAACAGAAGGAGAATCTGCAGAGAAGTTCCAAATGGAGGCTGAAAGGATGCTAGGACAGAGGCAGCAATGATGTTTATGTATCAGCTACCTCATTGGTCTCACGAAGGGAAGCTTCAGAGGCAAAGCTGGGGGAGCAAATCTGAAGACTGTGCTCACTACAGAGCTGATTTTTTGTGTTTGGGAGTGGGTTTTTAAAAACTATTTTTGCTTTGACCTTTAGGGGAATTTTCCCCATATTTTCTTTCAAAATGATGAAAGAGGAGAAGCCGTTCTGTTCTCCTGGATGTCCTCCCTTAGCCAGGGCAGTTTCCCAAGGGTTCTTGGCCTAGGGAAATGCCAAGTAGCTAAGTAAGGGCAGCTGGGAGAACCAGGGATGGGATGTTAAACTTCAGATTCTATTCCCGAATAAATCTGCAGCCATTAAGACAGCCTCTTGTAGGGATTTAAGGTCCTTGCCTTTCCTCTTCTAAGACTGTTCTTTCTATTAACTGAGGTGGTGAGAAGAAGGCAACACAGAAATGTTCAAGACATTTTGTTTTCTCTTCTAGACACACAACCATGACAATTAATTACTACTAACAGTATTGGAGCCAATGTGGAATCTATTTGTCTCATAATTTTCCTATTCATTCCAGTCTCTCCATATGGAGGTCTGTCTATTTCATTTTGCAATCTACATTGGGATAAATAATCTCTAAGAGTGCCCATTTTCCTTTATCAGCCATAACAGAGCTCTAGGGACTGGTTCAGCAGGATGGAGATATCAACATGAGTCTCAGATTAATCCTTTTTCTCAAACATTGATTAATCTTTAAGCCTATAGTCCAAAAAATTTGGACTATATACTAATGAAACCCAACCTTTTTTTCACAATCTCTAGCTTGCCTGACAGTTTGTTAGAATGCTCAACCCATGGGTACTTCCAGACTTCCTCTGAACCAACAAATGTGAACTGAGACCCTCAGATTGTGTGTTAAAAAGCAAATGTTTCATTTGATTTCATCTTTAAAGAAAACATACCTTGTCATCAGATGTGACATGTTCTTTGAAGTTATCACTTCAGTAATATTAATCTATCAATCTTTTTAAATGAGGCATACATTTTAAAGAGAAGGATAACTCATTAAATTAAAAGCTACAGCTAGGGGAAATGGACTGGCTTCTGACAAGTAGGTTTGTTCTTTTTTCCCATTCATTATAAAAAACTCTCTGTGCAAACATAGATGCTTCTATACCCACCACAACTAGTACTAGTCTTCTTTGTAATGTCTTTTCAATTAATTCTATCCTAATTCTTTCTAATTAAAATTACTTTTAATTAGGAAATCAGTAATTAGGAAACTTTATTCTAGTTAGTGTTTATTTCTGAGATAAATCTCTGGGAGGACTGGAATTATCTATGCCCATATGGCCAGAAAACAGTTGTTTGTAGTGTTTTTTTAAATTGATTGACTATGCAGCTTTTCAAACCCACAGAATTCTTGAAATAGCAAGTCAAGCTGCCATAAAGTATTAGTCTATACTATTGTAGTCCTACTGATGCAATTTATCATATGCTTAGTTTTAAACTGAGAGGCAAGGCTCTTTTTAACAGTTGTCCTGGAATTGGAAAAGTAATTTTACTTTGGTTACAGTATACACATTAAAATTTTTGTCTTTAAAATGTTAATAGTATAATTACATTTGTACAACCTTTCTGCCTTATTTCCCTGAATCGATAAAATTAATCTGACCTGTACAAGGTACAGAGTTGAGACAGAGCAACATCAAAGAATGTAATTAATTTCATTTCCAAGGTTGGTTTTCTTAATACTATCATTAAGACATGTTATTAAATTTTAACTTAACCAAATCTTTATTATATTCACCGTGTAGAGTTTTATATGTTCTCTTTGATAGTAATAAACGAAAGTACTAGTTAAGCCAGTATACTGATCTTTGAAATAAAATCATATGCATGTCCAAGTATGTATATATGTAATGCAAATGCAGGTACAATTTTCAAATATTTAGGTAGTGGAACATCTTGACAAGACCTGATGGATTTGCTATTCCTTTTTAAAGGAGGTTATTCGACTTAAGCACTGTCTTTTTCAGTATGCTTTTATGGTTCATCCTAATGGAAATAATAACACTGAATAGCTGGATAGCAATTCACATATTCAAAGCACTGTGCAAATATTAAGTAATACAGTTACACAACATCTAAATAACTATAATACTGGCTGTCAAGGCAGTGAAGAAGCAGACAAATGCAAAAGACTGCAGGCAGCTCTGGAATGGATTCTGCAGTGAGGAGGGAGGGAGCAAGATCCCTCCCAGTGGAGCGGGGCTCAGCATGCTGTATGCTCCAGGTTTGCATTATTCTGTTTCAGCCACCTGCAATGCTGTGTTTAAAGTGTTAATTAGCAGGTAGCAGATGCTGGTCCTTTTCCAGTTCTGCCTTGGAAGTGTTTCTCTGCTGTGCATCAAAATACAATGATGCCAATTCCACATTTTCAGTGACTGGTTTTCTATTGAGCATCTGGGCGTAATTCTGGGTACTGACATTTTGAAAAGTTTTTTTTCTCTAGTCTTTCTCATTTTCTCATCCTGTTGTAGGGATTTTTTAAAACAAGCTGTTGACAAGAAGGCAGAAAAACTCCCTGTTTCGGTGTCTCAGGTGGCGGCACTCTGTCACTGTCAACTTTATGTTTTATCTTGTCTATGTCAAGAATACACTGACAAATTTATTGTAGTGCTTGAAGGATACAATTGGAGACATTTCATTCTTTTCAGCCTTCTGTTAATTTCCTGGTTTAGAAATCAGTGCTGCTGAGGTCTGTTAAACAGTAGCAGATTTTGCAAAACCCTCTGTTCCTTAAGGACCCCAGCTCTAGGCACATTGCCTAGAGTGACAAACGTACTTCTTTTGTTCATTATACCCTGAATGGATTAGAAAATACTCTATTTTCTTCCAACCACGGCTGTACCTGACTCCTCTTTGCCATGTTGGATATATTATACTTCAATAACAAAGCAAATTGGAGGTCAACTTAAAAAGCACTGAACTCTATTTAAGTTTAATTCTAAGCTTAGAAGAATGGGTCCAGACTTTTGGTCTTCAAGGGGAAGGGTAAACTTTTATTTCCAGTGTTAATTTCCATACTTAAAAATACAACTTCCTCTTGTCTTTATGAGCCATCTCTCATTGTAAATGCTCAAAAGTGGTGTATGATTATGGTTGTGCACACAGTTTATGAATAGATCACTCCACGCACGTTTGAAATAAAGCAGCAGTTGCTGGGAGATGTGCAAGTGTTAGCTGTGAATAGGGTTCTGCAGAATAATTCAGAGCCTGTCAAACTCATAGTCCTTTGCTTGTGGAAAGTAACATATCTTTAAAGATGGCATTCACAATTGTTCTGGTTTTTACCATTTATTTAAAAACAGGCACCTGAGAACAGGCCAGCACTCCTAGTGCATTGTGATATTGTTTTTCTAACTGGTAAATATCTACTAGCAAAAGTTGTTAACAATGGGTTGGTTTATATTACTTCTCCCTGCAAGGTTTTTCTTCTCACTGCAGAACTGAAGAGTTTATATTTCGAATGCAGTGTTAAATTATATTTATGTGTGCAATTGTAGGAGAGCAACAGGAAAGACAGAAAATTGAACTTAAACTTTCTTTCTGAATATTGATTTCCGAAGTCTTGAGAGTAATTCTGTCAGACTCTAGTGATCTGTGATGTTTTGTGAAACATTTTTGTGAAGCCGATCGTCAAATTTTTTTTAACCCTTGATGATTTTACTCTGTTTCCAGAACCTCAACTCCTGCCTTGATGCCTTGCAGCGCTGTCACCACCGTTTGTGTCTCCAAAGTCACATCTGTGCCCTCACTCAGTGTGCCTCTTCTGAAACCGGTAATGATGAAGCGTTTCTGGGTTTGTTGTTAAAAACCAGCAGATGTCGCAATTTCCCCAAAAAGAGCGGATTTCTCTCCAGTCTCTTGAAACTGCAGCAACTTCTTAGGTATTTTTGTGCAGTATTCCACACTGCAATAATTCTGTGTGAGGTAAATTATTGTTGAGCAACATGCTTCAACCATCAGCTCTTTTATGTACTCTCACTTTAAAGCTGAATGTATTGATATGAAAATATCCCAATTTTACTCACTGAATATAAGTGAGACATTGCTGTGATGCTGAACACCGTAGGACTCTGTCACTGTCTCAAGTTGCTTATTGTAGAAAGGCATTTTATGAGTTTATTTGCCACAGAATCCATTCAGTCACATTTGATGCCTGAACTCTCTTTTGTTGCTGCTCAAATGTCTGTCCAAAATAGCTACATGGATTATGAGATGCTGCACTAAGGGATTTAAGTAAATATTTTTTAATTAAAGTATAACTGATGGACTATGCCTGCTAGTTAAATAAACTAAAATTTGTATTATCTAACTTTAGCTACTTAAAAATTCGACAGTTTGTCTGAAGAAGCTCTACTGCATCCTTCTGCATTTGAGGTGGAAAAGCAAATGTGTATGAGGGCCATGTAATCTCTTCCTAAGACTAGTGCTGGAAACATGTTCTATGGAGATACCTGTATCTCTCTGTCAAGTGTAGAAGGAACATAAACTCCTGTTTCAACCTTGATGATTATTTTGAGGATGGTTAGAATTAGGTGTTGTTAATAGGAACACTGAGAGAAGACTATTCTGCTTTACTTTTTTGGTTGCAGCCTGGTTTTAAAAACAATCAATCAGACTGTGGTGTTCTTGATCCCTATCAGCATCAGCTAAAGAGACAATATTCAGCCTATTGCAGCTATACAAGCACTTGTGGCTCTGTTGGAACAGTACCCAAGCTCCTGCTTAGGCAAAGAACTCATCCAAATTGAATCCTCATCCATATACATTCCTAGACTTGCACTGAAGAAAATAAAAAAACAAAAAACCAAAAACCAGTGGAGATAAAATTTAGCATAAAAAATAGTAAAGTGTTGATTTTTCAGTTTTTGAGATTAGTTTTACCAGGAAGAGAGTGAGATGCATTTAACATTAGCAGTCTGAGATTCAGACATGTAGACTGAGCTGGCTGTCTCAGCTCTCCCTGTAATCCATACAGAATAAGTGAGGGCTGAACAGGAGTCTGTGCTTGCATGGAAAAAACTGTCATCTCCTTCTCTTACCTGAAAAGACAATTTACAAAAGTATCTTGCCTGCTAATATGAGGTAGGATGAATCCTATAAAATAAATAGGAAAAGAGAAAAGAAATAGTTAAAGAAATCTATGTGTTAAAATAAGCATATGCATATGCAATATTTTTATATTCAGAAAGAACTTGTCAGTTTGAGATTTTAGGGGAAAGTGCAGATAAAATGTCAAAATAATAATGAAGATGCATCTTCTTCAATAGACTGGAATAAAGAAAGGCTTCCAGCCTGTGGGATGCCAGATAATAAGGAGTGAAGAGCAGACATAGGCTGGGATGTCTTGTTCCATATGACAGGCTCATGTTTCTTGCCATTTACATTTCAGGCAGCAATAAAAGCAGGGGGGGAGAGGGCAACTATGTGCCCACTAAAAAACTTCTGGAATGTTTTCCAATCAATACCCAAAATACAGATAACTGACTTGAAAAACAAAAACCCAAAAAAACCCAGTAAAAAAACCAGAGCAAAAGAATTTCAGTAATTAGGAGAATTTCTTGTGAAATGTGTAAGGGAATCAGTCTCACCTCAGATGAGAAGAGGCTCCGTGCACTGCATGGATGTATCAAAATGTGCAGTGTTCCATAGAGCTCCTGCTGGCATTCAAAACTCCCCACGACTGACCTGCTGGAGAGGAAATTGTCACTGCAAGGGAAAAAGGGGTCAAGTGGACAGACAAGACATGGACAAGTGACACTACCTGACCCACACCTTTCTGCATAGCTGCCACCTTGCACTCTACACAGCAGCAGCATGGGGTATGTGGAAACAGCCAGCTGCAGCTTCCCTTCCTGAAACTGGCCCTGGAATCAAGGCTAAGTGTACTGAGCTTGATGTCTGCCAAGGGCAAATATTGGGATAAAACCAGGCTTTTGTTATTGCTAAATGAAAATAAATAAAAGAATTTTATCTGTGTGAACCTCACCCAAGAGACTTAGGATCTAGAGTTAGTTACAGAGAGAGACAGAATAAATGGGGAAGCTTCATAGTGACTTTGATAATGCAGGAAGATTGACCTAGTTCAAAGTCAAAGGCAAGAAGTTAATTTTTTTTTATCCCTCTGACCATAGGGAATCATGCTGCTTAAAACATCTCAGTACTCAAAGTTAAGGAAAAGAAGTGATACCTGCCAAAAGTAATGTTTTCAGCATGTCTGCAGACTTTGGGGTGCCTGAGCACCTCCTTTACCCTTAGCTGAGGCTGACACTTCTAATCCCTCCCTTTGTCATTGTCAGTAAATTTTCGTGTCATGGTCACATCCCTTCTATTTCTGCAGCCTCCCCTCCCCTCCTTTTTTGCATTCCTTATTCTCATTTTAATGACAGGAATTTCAAAGCAGATTGCCTGGACCTGAAAGCTTAGTCACATCAGCTGACCCCTAAAGGACTCCCCACCCAGTCAGAGGCAGAGTGGTACCTCTGTGGCATCTGGCAGCAGCTGTAAAAGCAGATGCAGCTTATTGTCACCATCAGACAGGTGAAAAGTTAAATGAAAAATTAGGCTGATATATGAAGGCGACTCATCAGGGAAATCTTGGCAGCAGATGGGAAGAGTCCTTACAGGTATCTAAACAATGTGTGATAGTGTAGTTTTTATATTCTTGATTCTTGAAAAAAAAGTGAAATTGTACTTTGGAGCCATGGAGAAAAGGGGATTCTAAGAGTTAACTTGGAGTCTCTTTAAGATGTCTGTTGAAGGGCTAAACCCCACTTTTTCTGTTTGGTGTGTTTTTTCCCTCTATTTTTAAATAACACCAATATTCTCTTATGCTTCTCATCATTTTACAACAGCCTTATGCAATTACATCCTTTATGAGAGAACTCTATAGTCATGATCTGATTTAAATCCCCCTTTTCCCCTTTTAATTCAAGCCAGGTACTACATTGGGTTTTGGTAGTGTGGGACTGTATTAGTGTCTTCTGTGAGGAGCTGCTGGAAGCTTCCCTCTTGTCTGATGCCAGCCAGATCCAGGACAGACCCACCAGAGGCCAAGGCTGAGCCCAGCACCAATGGTGGAAGCACTTCTGAGGTAAAAGACATAAGAAGGGGGAAAAACTTCTGGGCAACAGCAGTCGTAGGAGAAGAATGAGACTATATCACAGGAGCAGTCCTGCAGACCCCAAGGTCAGCTCAATAGGGGGGCCAGGAGGTGCTCCAGGCACCAGAGCTGAGATTCCCCGGTAGCCCATGGAGGTGCAGGGTGGAGCAGGGATCCATCCACCTGCAGCCCCTGGAGCATCTCATGCTGGAGCAAGTGGAAACTTAAAGGAGGCTGTGACCCCTTGGGAAGCTTGTGAGACTCACATTGGAGCAGTTTGTTGAGGACTGTCTCCTGTGGGAGAGAGCTGAGGCTGGAGCAGGGGAAGAGTGGGAGGAATCTTCTCCTGAGGAGGGAGGAGAAGCAGAGACAATGTGGGATGGCCTGACCACAGCCCGCACTCCCTGTGCTCCTGTGCTGCTGCATGGGAGGAGGTTTTAGGAAAGACTTTTTAAGATTTGCTTGTTATTTTTCGTTACCTTACTCTGATTTTATTGGCAATAAATTGAGTTAAGGTCGAGTCTGTTTTGTCCACGATGGTAATTGGTGAGTGACCTCTCCCTGTCCTTATCTCCATCACTGAGAATTTGGTTATATTTTTCCCCCACTGTGCTGAGGAGGGACAGAGTATTGTTGGTGGGCACATGGTGTCCAGCCAGGATCAACCCTTCACAGCTATTTTCAAGAGCCCTTCATTCTGGAAATTGCCTACTCACTAATGAGAACTGTTTTTCTACTTTTTATTAAATCTTTCTTCCTACTCCCTAGTCCATGCTGACAGAAACTATTATGTACATCACAATGTTTTGTTTCTAGCATTATTTTTTCTCTGGCTTTCTCTTATTTTTTGTATTATTAATAATTTTTGTCTGCCTCCGCAGACAGACAAAGAGTTGGATTAAATTTTTTTGAGAGAGATTCCTTTTGGTCAGAAAAACGTTGATTTTAGAAAATCGTGTATTTGCGAGAATGCAACTTTTGTGGCAGGGTTTTAGTGGGTGATAACTCCAACCTTGAGTAGATTTGACTCTAATATCATAGAAAGAGCAAGCATTCCACTGCAAAATATCAACCAACCAGGCAAATAGCTAGATCCTGGGCCCAAGTTAGTTCTGTAAATAATAATAAAAAAAGCATTAACTTTTTCTCTATAAATCAATTCAGCTTATTTCCCAGAGGCCTACTGGCTATTCTTTTACACATAGATTTTTCATATCAAATAAATATAAATTTTTGCATGCTTATGATGCTCCAAGGTTATAAACAAGAGAAGGATTATAGGAAGATGAAATATCTTGTATTAGAGCAGATGGCAAGCTTTAAGGTACATAAACTTTCTTCAGTTGTTTGCACTCCTGAAATGTGCTTGGCTTTTTTTTCTAGCTATAACATTTGGCTTAATAAAATATATTGTTTCTGTTGACAAAACTTTCCTTCTGGAAAAACTTGTCTCTTCCTAGTCTGCTGCAGAAAAAGAAAATCCAAAAAAACCAACAAACTCAAAACAAAACCAATATCTCAAGCAAATGCTTCTTTTCAAGCAGACTGTCTTGCCTTTTGGAATTTGTGAAGACCTTCATCAAACCTTTTCTGTTCTCAGCAGGAGAGAAGTTCAGAAACATTTCAGCTCTCGCTGTGCCTCTGGACTGATGGTGTTTCAGTTAGATGTGAAA